CTTCTCGATTAGGAAGGGAAGCTCATGCCAAATCTTCTTCCCATCCTTAGTACTGAACTGACATCGAATACGATCGACGTACTGGGTTACCGTCATCGTGCTTTTGTCAGCCAGCGTAGACGTGATTGGTCTAGCTAACGTTTGGATCTTCATGCCGAGGTGCAACTTGCGGATTGCACGTTCAGACATGTAAGATCGTGTGGACCCAGCGTCCAGCATTTCACCAACGTGTGTGCGATTGACAACCAAGTCGACAATTAATAGTTACCCCTTAGACTTGGCTTTCTTCGCCCACGAACCGCGTAACGCGACTAGCTTGCTACCCTGCTCGTCAAGGGAGTCGTCCAGAGACAGGCATAAGATAGGAGTGGGGTTATCTGAACGATGGGCGGAAGGGTTTCCATCCTCTGCAACGGGAGTCGGGGTGCGGAAAGGGATCGTAGGCGCCTCGCATGTGATCGCACCCTCCGACTCTGTAGGAACAGATGTTATTCCTACTGGCTACTCCCTTTTGGGTTTCTAATCAAAGGACAATAGGCAATGACATGCCCCGCAGTGCCACACTTGAGGCACTGTGCATTGTCCATCCTATCCTTCCATACTTCCCGGGTTAATCCCATCTTCAGCCACGGTCTACCGGCCGCAATCCCAGGATGGTACGGGAAGGAGCGTGGTCTTCCCTTCGGTCGATTGTTCGATGACGGTCCTCCCTTGTTGACCGTCGCAGCGGTGACCTCCCCCTTTCCGGGGTCACTGTTGCTATCATCACCACCCTCGTTCTCCAATGGCCATTTCTCCATTGTATCGTCGTCGAATACGACGAGGGTATGGTCCTGGCGCTTTTGGCGCCATAAAACCCGCTTGTCGTAGCCTCCCCGACTGCCTCCTCCTCCATTCTTTACGGCAGCAGCATAGGAACCTTTGACTTGCGAAGTCATTTGTTCCCGCTGCAACGCCAGGTCGCGGAACTGACGGTAACTATACTTATCGGACTTGGCCTCGGCGACCAAGTGCCCCGGATAGGTTCGGGCAATGCACGCGAGTAAATGTAAAGGACCTGAGAGTCCTGCAGGTTAAGACCGGGAACCTGCAACAGTTGGTCAACCTCACGAGACAATGACTCAACTGAAGACTAGAACTTTTGTCCTATCGTGGTGAGTTGGTCGAAGGCCTTATCGGCCGTAGTCTTGTCCAAAAAGCAGTCCTTGACTTTTGCAAGGAACTGCTTCAAGGTCATAGTCTTCGCCCACTCACCTATATCGTCAAACCCCGCGGCATTTGCTTCCGCCAGAACCCATTGCTTCACCTCACCCCCCATACAAGAAGTGGTGAACGCAACTTGCGACTCTTCTTCTACCGGTGCAGTCCCAACATAGGTCTGGATCTCTGCGATTCAGAGTGGAAGGCTTTCTTCTTTCTTATGAGAAAAAGTAAAAGGCAATTTCATCTTCACCTTTTCTTTTTTCTTTGGCTTAGTCGGATCTGTGGGTTTGGCATTCTCCTTAGGAGGGGGAGTGGGACCGTTGGGACCACCATTCCCATTTCCGTTCCCGTTCCCATTCCCGTTTCCATCACTATCCCCGTCGGGTTTCTCTTCCGGTTTCATCTCTGGTTCCTTTTTCGTTTCCTTTTTGGATGCGTCGCCGTCTTTCATTCCGCCGATGCGCAACTTATCAATCTTGACGTCATTTTTTTTATCCTCGTTTCCTTTTTCTTCCTCACTTTCGATCAAAGGGGCTTTCCCCTTAACGATGTTAGTGATGACGTGGAGACCAACAGCCAATTCATCCATTCTATTCTGTTGTTGGTCCAATTTCTCCTCAAGGAAAGCCAGATACGTCAGTATTTGCCCCAGCGTCTGGGCGACATCCTTCTCATCCAAAGAAACGTGTTGCTGAACTCTACCCATTCTCTGCTGCAACCTAGTTTCCTGTTCTTTTCTTTGCAACAGTTCAGAGGAGCTCTCCCAGTTCACTTCTTCGTGCCTCGATCTGGGGACGTGTACGCGCCTCAGTCGAGGAGCTACTTGCTCCCACCGCATAAGGCACTTGCCCAGGTCCGAACAAACGAGGCACCCACCGGGTCAGAATAGACTGACGCATGTGCTCAGCAATCGGTGCCATGATCAACATCAACAGGAAATTTAACAGGCCAATCCTTTCTCAAATAAAAATGAAACAGACAATATTATCTGATGGCTGGACAGCCACTCAATCGTCAGTACAGCAGAGGATTCACAAGAAATAAATAAATAAAAATAATTAATTATTCTCTTGATTGATGTCTTGTCTATAAGCTGTTCTAATTTTGTTTTCTCTCCTATTCGTGTGATGACTTCTCTTCCAGGTAATCGAGCAGGCCAAGGTCGTTAGCATTCACAGGTACGTGTGCACGCACAGCCAGACAACAGGTAAGTACCGACAACACAACCAATCAACGTCAGTCTTTCCACATAAGGCCACGTCAGCATGCACTGAAATCACCCCGACAGCAGACAAGCACCACAAGCCAAAGTCTGCCGCTCGTGCCGCTCCCAGTGTCGGAATGCGTCAATCGTCCCCAGGCACAGCGTGCCTGCTTCGGCCAAGTCCCCCGGTATGCTAACTCAGCTTTCGCCAAGTCAGCACTTCGAACCAATCAAAGATCGTGGGGGTGGCTTCAGCGGTGAATGCTGGCCGCTCCGCTTTCTCTCATTACCCGGATCCGTTCGTGAAGGTGATCTCCAACAATGCTGAGCTCTAAAACTCTGCTCGCCGCATCCCCAACTCAACCAGCGGATGCCACGTCAGCACTTCATCTCGCCAATATCACGAGTTAGCAAGGAGCCGGATCAACGGCTCTACTCGTTTCTGATCAGCAAGATAGCGCTGCGGTTCTTCAATCTCGTCGGCGAGAGGTCTTTAGCGCACTTCAAGAAGTCCCCTGCTTCAATCTTCAGTGGACGTGGATGTGCCACGTCAGCAATCAATCATCGTTTGGCAGGCTTAATCTGCCCGTCATCACCATGGTCTTCGCGCGCGTCGTCGGGCTTGATGTCTAGACAGCTTGTTGATAAACACGCGCGACAATAATGTCGCGAAGAGAAAGCAGCCCGATACTCACTTACCTGCGCGCGCGATCTTGGAGAGAAAATGACGCGCTCTTAATCAATCGCGTCGGAGAGACGCGAGCGCCATAGTAGACAATGTCGGAAGTAGAGCTCTGATACCAAATTGCAATGTGCCCAGTCGTGATAATCCGTCGTCAATCACAAAGACTAAGTAGATGAACGCTGTTGATAAATCGTGATAATAATGATCCCCAAAATGAGAGAGAATACATACACAAACGAGAGAGGGAGGAGGGAGAATAGACTTTGAGA